TAAAGTTCATACCTTTCTTGAAAACGTGATTCATAATTTTTTGTAACTCTAGTGCATCAACTTCCAGATCAGCTCCTGTTTAGCAAACAATTAGTTATCTAACTTCCCTAAAAAAATGATGTTTCTCTCTCTGCACGCACTTTTTTGCTTCTATAAATTACATCGTTTAAGATTTCAAGAAACTGTTTTCGCACAATAAACAAGCTAAATGGCATCTTTCAAATGGTACCAAANTTTTAAGATCATAAATTCGAACTTTCCGAATAAGTTCTATACGATTTGTTTTGACTCTAAAAAATACATCGTGAAAGTTATTGAGCTGCGGTTTTTGCCTGAATACTAAGCTAACGGATACCTATTTATTGGCGTTAAACTCAAAAGAATTTGATCTTTGAGAGTAATTTTTACAGTCAGTTAAAGATTTCATATATTAATTTCATATGATTTTTTGAGTTTACATTTATGATTCTATAAATTACATTGTTCAAGATTTTAAAGCTCAGTTTTACCTGAAAACAAAGCAAAATAGTGTTTATCTAATGGTATTAAGTTGGGGTTAGTTTGACTAACTCAAGTAATTATTATGACCAGTTAAAGATTTCATATATTAATTTCATATGATTTTTTGAGTTTACATTTATGATTCTATAAATTACATTGTTCAAGATTTTAAAGCTCAGTTTTACCTGAAAACAAAGCAAAATAGTGTTTATCTAATGGTATTAAGTTGGGGTTAGTTTGACTAACTCAAGTAATTATTATGACCAGTTAAAGATTTCATAAAAATTCTTATATTAATTCCATATGATTTTCCGCATTTACATTTATGATTCTATAAATTACATCTTTCATGATATCTAAACATTGTTTTACTTGAAAACAATGCTAACTACTACCTATCTATTGGCTTCAAATTTAGGTTGATTTGACTTACGGAAGAAATTATTAGAGTCAGTTTAAACTTTTGTACAAATCCCTATTTAAGTTCTATATGATTTTTTGCGTTTTCATTTATGGTTCTATAAATTACCTCTTTCATAATATTATGACGCGGTTTAGTTTAAAAACGACGCTAATAACTATTTATCTATTGGTGTTAAGTTTGAGTTGATTGGACAACTAAAAGTATTTTAT